GTTACTCACCTTCAAGAAGGTGAAGTCGTTTTAAGTGTATTTTTAGTCACTAGCGCCAGTCCGTTGCCATTTGAGATTTTCAGTCAGAGCATCAGTTATGCTCTTGAGACTTTTAAGATGAGCAGCAGTTATGCTCTTGAGATATTTTAAGATGAGCAGCAACTATGCTCTTGAGAATCGTGGTGAAGAGCCACCACGAAAAGTTTAAGTTTAAGGAAGCCTGGATGGGCTCTCATACGTATGAGTTGGCAACCGGACTAGCTAGTGAGGGATCCCAGTGTCAGACAAATATTTAAGTTGAGATTTGAGTTTTAAGAATAAAATTTTAAAGAGTGGAAGTATCATCCATCAGTTGAAGTTAAGTTCTTAAGTATGAAATACTAGAGATTTAAATCGAAGAACTTTTCAAGTTATTAAGACTTTATGGTTAAGAGTTAAAGACTGGAGATTCATTACGTATGAGTTGGCAACCGGACTAGCTAGTGAGGGATCCCAGTGTCAGACAAATATTTAAGTTGAGATTTGAGTTTTAAGAATAAAATTTTAAAGAGTGGAAGTATCATCCATCAGTTGAAGTTAAGTTCTTAAGTATGAAATACTAGAGATTTAAATCGAAGAACTTTTCAAGTTATTAAGACTTTATGGTTAAGAGTTAAAGACTGGAGATTCATTTTGTTTTGGACAATTTGAGTTTTGCCCACGTGTTTAGGGCTTCGATTTGAGATATTAAGATATTAGAGTTTGGGATATGGGATGGACTTTGCTCTTCAAACGGGATTGGGTACCCATTTCAAACGGGATGGGTATCCCATCATGTCCTGTTACCCACCTCTACCTAAAACAGGATGACCCACTTTCCCCTTTTCTTTTCAATATCGTCATGGATCTCCTATCTCACACCCTGTATAAAGTTAGGGAGGCTGGAATAATATCGGGTTTGTGTATTGATGAGTCAAGCCTGGGAGGCGAGATGGCACATCTCCTCTACGCAGATGATGTGATTATTTATTGTGAAGCTAGCGAGGAAGAAATCCTAAATGTGACAGCTTTCTTGGTGTGCTTTTAAAGAATTACAGGTTTAAGGATCAACTTGGAAAAAAGCAGAATTTACCCGGTTGGTGAAGTTAAAGATATTGAGACATTAGCTGAGATCGTAGGCTGCGATTGGGGTTTCCTCCCAACTGTGTACCTGGGCATGTCTGTTGCGGTTTCACTGAAAAATCGATATGGGATCCGGTCATTTTGAGAATGTAGAGAAAGTTGGATGGCTGGAAAGGGCGCTACCTTTCCACGGGTGGTAGAAGGATCCTCACTAATGTGTGTCTAGCCAGTCAGCCTCTTTTCAGAGCCCTGAAGTCTATCATTGAAGCTATTGAGAAGATACAAAGGAACTTTATCTGGTATGGTACTACAGGTGATAACGGGATGCATCTTGTTGGATGGAGAACATGTAAAAGGCCAAAAAATCTTTGGGGGACTTGGGATCCCTAATTTTTAACAAAGAAATTGTGCTCTTCTTTGTAAGTGGTGGTGAAAATATGCAACAAACAAGGAATAATGGTGGACGAAGCTAATTGCTCTCAAGTACCCCAATTCCAAGTCAGATTGGTGCCAGGAACTAACCTTGGTAGCAGGGGTTGGAGCCCTTGGACTGAAATTGCAAAGCTTAAAAGAGTCTTTTGGAACTTCTCCTTCATTGAGGTTGGGTGTGCTTAGAACTCCTTTTGGCATGATAAGTGGATCGAAGACGTTTTCCTTGTTGAGGCTTTCCCGGGAGTTTCTACCAATTATCGTGTCTTAGAAAATCTGTAGGTCGAGCAAGAGAGTGTTTCCTGGGAAATTGAGCTAAAATTTTCAATTAGGCGTGGGGCTGAGAGAGAGAGAGAGAGAGAGAGAGGATGATGAATCTTCTAGACTCCATATCTTTTTCTTATATGTTTTCAGGTCCTTCCAGACTGATCTGGAAGCCTCATCCTTCCAAGGGGTTCTCAGTGAAATCAATGTACGAGGCTTGCATTGCTGATATTTACTCAGGAGTCCCTGCTTTTCCACATAAATCGATCTATCAGAAGGTGGTTCGCTTGAAAATCTGCTTCATCACGTGGATGGCTTATCAGTGTCAAGAACCAGTTGATCCCAATAACTCGAGTTGTTGGGAGAGGTTCAATCATGGATCATATACCACAACACTAACATGCCCCCTCAAACGAAAGCCACTCACAAGGGCTTGAAGTTTGCACAGGTCTGAACACAAGAATACCACGTGCTTAACAAATGAGGGTCACCGGGAATCGAATACAAGACCTCTTGGTCACATAAGGCTCTGATATCATGTCAAGAACCAGTTGATCCCAATAACTCGAGTTGTTGGGAGAGGTTCAATCATGGATCATATACCACAACACTAACAATCAGATGAAGATACCGACGCAAGACAATTTAAAGAAGAATGGCAGGGCGATGCCGAACAGGTGCGCCATGTGTAGGAGTGTCGAGGAGAACATTGATTATCTCTTCCTCTGTCGTAACTTCATAAAAGCTGCGTGGAAGATTGTCTGAAAGTTTGTGAAAATTGATTGTGCCATCCATAACAGCTTGGTGCGTGCTATCGCAGGCTGGAATTTGCGACAACCTCAAAGTTTGGCTGATTGGTGTTCCCGAGTTTTGTTACACGCATTGTGCTGGTGTGTGTGGTTAGAAAGGAACGTGAGGATATTCGAAGAAAAGCCGTTAACGCCAAAGTTGGTGAGCTACATAATTGGATGTCGTATCGCTGGCCGGTTGACCAGTGCAAAGAAGGTGGATCGGATTGTTGTTGAAGCTTGGTTCAACTCTCTTAAGGAGCAACTGTTGGCGTGAAACACTAGCTCTGTTCGTGTGAGGTGATTGTATTTGCTTTGATTATTGTCCTGCTTTGTTAAGGCATGTATGGTTTTGTTTTCCTTTGTCATTGTGGGTTCTTTACGTCAGGGCTGGGTTTTCTTCGCAGCAGCTCTTGTATGCTTCTTGGTTCTCTTCCGGACTTTCTAAGCTCGTTTGCTGTCCCCCCTGTAACTTGTTCCTTTCCTTTTAATAAAAGTGATGTCACCCATATATATATAATGAGAAACAAAAATTGACCGTTGAGATCGGTCGGAGCTCATCTAAGTACATCTAACGGTTAGATCACTTGTTTGTATACTATACGCCTGATGTACACCAGTCATTACCATATATATATATATGTGTGTGTGTGTGTGTGTGTGTGTGTGTGTGTCTGTGTGTGGGAATATGGGTCATACCGACGTACGGCAGGCGTATACTATACGTCAGGTACTACTAATGAGATATCTCTATCTAGATCATGAAATAAATCGAGTTTGGTGTATGATACTATACCCTAACCTCTAATGGATAAACCCCAGACACCGATTTTGTAAACCCCAACCCGAAGTTTGATTTAATGAAAACAAAATTTGAGAGAGTGACAGGAGCTCATCTAAAAACATCTAACTGTTAGATCACCTGGTCTATACTATATGCCTAACATATATATATATATATAAAAGCAGGACCAAACATAGACATATCTCCATTTTCCACAAAAAGAATCCAACACTCACCTACGAGCCGTAGTGCAGCCAATCACAGGTCAACATCCCATCATCCCTCAATTTCTAAATAATTGTTATCTTAGAACAAATGCTAAGGCTTCAAACCCTTGTTTAATTACTAAGTTCCATTATTTTTAGTTTAATTTTCTCTAACCCTCTTGACTTAAATTTATTACTTCACTATCAGAGATACATAGCATACACTCACGAAGAGAAGCAAATACCATAACTAGAGCTTCTTTCCCAACTAATTAACAATAAAAAAAATCACATTGTTGTGACTTTTACGGAAACATAACATGGATCCGTAAGAAAGTGATATAAGATTTATAATTAACTTTCTCTTATTGGGATCAACTGACTTATAACATGGTATCAGAGTCTGATTTAATCAAATGATCGTGTGTTTGAATCTCCGCCACCTCCAATATAACAGTTGATTTAAGCATAAAATATAATGGGCCTGTACAAACTTCAATCAAGAGAAAATATCCTTCTTTCAACACTCAACTGACAAAGAATACCCCATCTATTTATTTGTTTTGATACCATAGTTCATTGAAAAGAAGTCACAATTTATGTGTTGATTTTAACTTGGGAATTTGCTCTATCACCCGAGCAGAATTGAGATGCGCCGTTGAAGGAATTCAGTTGACTTGGGATAACGGCCACTGACGAGTTTGTATGAAACTTGATTCTAGATGTACGATTCAGCTACTTCAGAGCAGTGAGGCGTTGGATCATCATCAGGCCGTTATTATTGATCGTTTCCAGGATCTTCTTTCTCGAGACTAGGTAGTCTCTAACTCCAATGTCTATAGAGAGGGAAATAATTGCGCGGACTATTTGGCTAGTAGGTGGCACACTCTTCTCTTGGGTTTTCATGATATGTCTCTTTCTAATTCTGGTTTATGACACTTTCTCTTGTACGATTGTCAAGGATTTTATGAGTCTCGTTTGGTTGTGAATGAAAGATGAGATACGCTCCATCCATTTAAAATAAAATTATTAAGGCAAAGTAATTAATTTTGAATTAATTATATTATTTGATCCCTCATGGCCAAGAATCAATCAGGGCATAAACAGAAAGCAGCGATGGGGAAAGTTTTCAGGAGGGCATATATTATGTTCAACCATTTTCAGTTATGATCATCAATTAATCAGCCTATTGAATTGGTAATTGAATAATCTTGAAAGCCATATAACCGTCAATATACGCGCAACCAACAATGTTACGTTGCGGATTCCTTGGCTTAAACATCAATTAAGCCACCAAATTCTTCTTAATATGTTATATTGATACTCTAATTAATCTCATATCTTTCAAACAGCTCTCACTCCATTACATTAACGTCAATCATTTTGTCACTTCCTGTCTTATACAGCATAAAAATTAAAACCCTGTATTACTCTGTTGATTGAGACATTGAGTGCTACTTCCTTTGTTACACTAAAAAAGCCATTTCAAGTGCTGCTCAATGTGTAACATACGAAAACTTTGATGACCAAATAAATATTTACACTCGTCATTTCCCCTATTTAAGCAAAGTAAGTGAGCTTACCGCCATCCCATATCTCCGTACACTTCCCTCTGCTCTTTCTCTCTATATCTCACCCGCTCTGTCTGCAAATCCGCATGGAAGCCCTAATTCCTCAAATAACAAGAAGGAAAAAACGGAAAATCCCTTTCTCCCACCCTTCCCTAGCAGCAGTTGTCAGCAGCAGCAGAAACAATGGCGGCATCAATTCTGGAAGCAGTGAAGCAGATGCCATCAACATCGACTCTGCTCACAGCCTACGCTTCCTTCTCCACAACATCAATGCTCTTCCGCAACGTCTACCGCGAGATCGTCCCTGAGCGCCTCGAATCCTACCTCGTCGACAAGTTCAATTCCTTCTTCTACTCCCCCAAGCCCTCGCCGGAGCGCGACACCTTCATAATCGACGATGACTGGGACGACCTCGACCGAAACGACCTCCTGTTCGCCGCCAGGGCCTACCTCTCCACCAAAATCGGGCCCAAGAACAAGCGGATCCGCGTCGGCAAATTCCCCCACCAGAAGAAGGTCTCCATCGCCCTCGCCGAGGGCGAAACCGTGCTCGACGAATTCGACGGGATCGAGATCACCTGGAAGCTGGCCCCCGACGAGGAGGAAGGGGAAGACGACAACAACAACAACAACAACTGCGACGGGATGAATTACTTCGAGATCCACTTCGAGAAGCGGCACAGGGAGAAGGTTCTGGAAGGCTATTTGGGCCACATCCTGGATCTCTACGAGAAACTCTCCCACAAGGAGAAGTCTCTGAAGCTCTACACGAGGCCCAATACCTCCTGGCGGGCCATGGACCTGAGGCACCCCACCACTTTCGACACGGTGGCCATGGATCTGGAGATGAAGCAGAGGATCATGGACGATCTCGACCGGTTCGTCGCGAGGAAGGAGTTCTACAAGAGGGTCGGAAAGGCGTGGAAGAGAGGCTATCTGCTCTACGGCCCGCCTGGCACGGGCAAGTCCAGCTTGGTCGCTGCCATGGCCAATTACTTGAACTTCGACATCTATGTTCTGGAGCTCTGTGAAATCTCTGGCGATTACGATCTCAGGATGGCCCTGATGGGCATCGATAACAAGTCGATTACCGTAGTGGAAGACATCGATTGTAATTCGGAAGTCCGTAGCCGCTCCAAGGACAAGGACGACTCCAGCGACGATGATGATGACGATCGCCACAGCAACCGTCGCAGTCCAAGGGTAAGGACTAAGGAGGATTGATTTTGAATTCAGTAGTTAGCTAGCCCCCGCGAAAAATAAAACAGAGTTGATTTTGAGTGTTGGTGTTGGTGTGGTGCGTGTTTATTAATTTGAGCAGTTCACGTTGTCGACGCTGCTGAACTGCATCGACGGGCTGTGGTCGAGCCGGGCGGAGGAGAGGATAGTGGTGTTCACGACGAACCACAAGGAGGTTCTGGATCCGGCGTTGCTGCGGCCGGGGAGGATGGACATGCAGATCCACCTGTCGTTCTGCAAGCCCCAGGCGTTCAGGACGCTGGCGAGCAATTACCTTGGCGTGAAGGGGGAGCATCCCTTGTTCCCGGAGATCGACGAGCTGCTGGAGGGTCTGGAGGTCACGCCGGCGGCAGTGGCAGAGGAGTTGATGCGGGATGAAGATGGTGACGTTGTTCTGAAGCAGGTGGTTGAGTTTCTGAGGGCCAAGAAGGCGGAGATAGAGACGAGAAAAGAGGATAATAAAAGCGATGGTGGCGATGGTGATGGTAGTGCTAGTAGTGATGTCTCTAATTGATTGATTTACAGGCCGCCATAGTAGCTTACAGCTTTGTTTGCCAATTCAATCGTTATTTTGTTTTTATTTCTTCAGAGGATCTAGATGCTATAGTAATGTCACGTGTTGGGAATAAAAACTTTGAGCCAATAAAAGGGTCTCGTTCTCGTGTGGTAGCTTCAACCTCTGCTTCCATCGGGTTTTCTCAGGCAGTAGATCTTGCTTCCATCTGGTGTTTCCTTTCACTGCCGACCAGAAGATACAGCTCTGGCAGATGTAGGGATGGGCAATTCGTGTATTGGGTGGATTTAGGGCAAAATTCACCCATCCATTCTAAGGCCAAGTCCAATGCAAAACCCCAAATTTGGGGGCTTTGAACCCCAAATTTAGGGATTAAATCCCATTTTCCCTTCTTTTGCTCCAATGCAACAAACTCCATATTTGGGATTCTTAATATTTCCAGCTTTTCCATTTATTTAAAAATGTACTTATCGAAACTTTAATATAATTTGTTCATGTTAGTTTTTGTATAGTTCATCATCATTTTTAAATACAAATTTTTCGAGAGAATTTTGTTAAATTTCGAGACCGAATTTTTTTTGGCGAAAAATTATAAACCTAATTTGAGTTTACACACAACACTTGAAAATGATAAAGCTTAACGAGTTGACATAATAATTCAAATGGTACAATTCATAGGTTACACACAACACTTGCTAATCATAAAGCTTAAATATTACACACAACACTTGAAAATGATAAAATTTAAAAATAATACACAACACTTGAAATGATAAAAAGGAAACACATAACATGTCAATAATCACCCAGAAGGGAATAGTAATTCCCGTAATCTCCTCCACCTTCATCTCCTCCTCAATTTCCATCTCCACCTCCGGTTTGACTTGCGTTGGATGAATAGTCGGGAACAGAGTTGGGATCATCTTGATCATACCCTAGGAGCATGTTTTGATGATTTTTGTAAAATGAATTTTAAATTAAATGATAGACATAAATTTTAAGTAAGATGATAAACATAAATTTTAAATAAAATGAATTCAATTTAAGTCATCTTAGAAAAAAGCCTAAATACACAAATATTAAACACAAATTAAATACAATTTAAAAAGCCTAAATACAAACATTATTTTCCCTTCCCCTAATTAATTACATTCAATTCCCTTAATCAATTTTATTAAATAACTCAACAACAATTAAAAAAAAAAGTTGTTGGCCGCACAACCGCCCAGCCCCGACAGTTGTGCCGCGTAGCAGACAACTCATCCTCCATAATTGCCGAAATCGGCAAACCCTCCCCCATATATAGCGATCCAATTGCCGATCGCCTTCATAATTGCCGATTTTTGGCATTTATTTCTCTGCGTTGGAACTCCAAGATCGGCATTAATGCCGACAACCCCATAAATGCAGGCTCCATTGGACTCAGCCTAATTAGGGCTGGAAGTTTGGTATCGGTATTTGGTATATACCGAATATCGTACCGAATTTGTCTATATTTGGTATTACCGTATACACGGATTATTTCGTGGGATTTGGATTGGGATTGCGATTGAGTTTCAATTGTTATTCAGTATTAGGGATTACGGAATTGGGATCGGTATATACCAAAATACCGATCAATACCGAAATATAAGCTAGTGTGTATTTTATCTTCTCAACTAGACTTCACTCATTCACTACTACACGACCTTCAACCACCAAGAGTGTCATTTAATTATACATAGATTGGGATACCGAGGTACCGATTGGAATACCAAAATATTTAGGGATTGAGATTAAATTACTCTTTTGAAGTTGAGAATGTATCGAAGTACAGGGTATGAATCTTTTAATCTCAAATATATCATATTGTTGGTGATTGAACTTATTTTTAATACCTTTTATAATTAATTTCATAAAATGAATACCCAACCCATCATATCCTCTAGTAAGTGACTTCCACCCATTACTAGGATGTCACTGATTATTGTTCCGGTTTAGACCGATTCTTCTGTTGTGGACTCTTATGGGCTCTTCTTACAACTTCCAAAAGATTTCTTCATCACGAGACCTCTCCTTTTGCGTGAAAACTCCATAAACTTCTTTTTATAGCTCATTTGGTCCTCTAGACTGCTCCAATGCTTGATCCAAATACTCCTAGTTTGTATTTACCTTGAAAACATCAAAACATACCAAAGAGGTATCGAAAGATATAAAATCATATCCTATGTCTATTGCATTGATAAAATATTTATGTTTTAGATATAAAATGTACTAAGAATGCATCTATAGGAGGGGAAAATGTATCGAATATTAACATGATAAAACTTATAATTTGAGTGTCATCATAAATATCTCACACTTTAACTTCGCTTGTCTACAAGTAAAGAGTACTCACAATCCAACAACTTAATGATAACCAGAAGATTTTAAAATATAATTCTAACTCGAAAATCAAAAGAACTTGAAAATCAAAAGAAATTCGTAAATGAACATATTTAGGCAAAATGGTGCAATTTATCCTAAGTGAACATTTTTATCTTGTTACGCAAGAGTGCATAAAAGTAGAGTAAAAGCGTAAAGCGTTTTGGTGAACTAGAAACGTAAACGCGTAAGCTTTTATGCTTTAAAGCGCAATTTAGTTCGATTTTATACACTAAAGATTTTATATGAAACGAAAGTGTTTTGGTGACCTAGAAGTCTAAAACCATAAGCTCTTAAGTTTAATTTTAAAGCGTGATTTCGACTGTATTGTGTAGGAGTGTTGTATCCTAGGCATCTCCTCTCGGTCTCAACCTATAACAACAATTCAATATGCAGGTGCCCAGTCTACACAAACCATTAACCATTAAAAATCCACACACAATATGAATGAGAAAGACAAATAATCCCACTTAAATTATAGGAATCTGATAGCTACATCCTATGGTTTTCCCGTAGAAAAGTAGGGTTAAGTTCATAATCATGGAAAACAAACAACGAATAATTCTAGATCCAACATATTAAAATTCAAGAAACAAAAGAAATAATTATAAATAGAGTAAATCATTTCTCAAACTCTGATTCCTTGACGATCTCCTGAAACTATCCCACAAGAATGCCCCTCTATTCCGCGCGGCCTCTAGTCCCAGGTGGACAAGGAAGCTAGGCCCGACCCAATTATTATACTGTTGCGGATGTGTCTCCTCAATTGGGCTAAGAAATCGGTCCGAGTATATGTATAACACTAATCACTGCTCCCAAACTTCAGATGTATCTAGTCTTTTGCATCTCTCCCTCCATACATGACTCAGTAAGGATTGTCAAACAAGTCTACCAGCTGCTCCTTCTTCTGACTTTCTTCCCCCTCCTTCACATCCCACATCAGCCCATCTTCCTAGAAAAACCTCGGAAAATGAGGATAAAATTTGCAAATAACTCATGAAACATAATGATGCGGGAGAGCCTCCACGGGCCGAGCTGGCTAAACCACGAAGATCGGGCTGCAGCCCCAAGCCCAACCGTGGTTCGTCGCATAAGAGTTATTGTGTTATTTTGTTGCTATAAGGAAGTTGGTTTCCCATTCCTTTTCATTGTTGAATTGTTTCTTTTCTTGCAAAACACCATCCCTGAAGCTACAAAACACCAACCAGTCTACCTCTCATCTCCCCTGTCGACCGTCGCATTCACATAAAAGAAGGCATCAAAGTCACCTAGTGTGTAAGATGAGAAAAATTCTCCCTTGAACGTCACGTGGATGGTTGCACCACTATCAACCACCCAGCTTGTCTCCTAGGTTGTCAGGTTGACAACATCTTCCTCGTAGACAATATTGAACTCATCAACAGAGTTTGCACCATCATCATCACTATTATCATCTTGTTTGCCCTTTCTTCTCTCGTTTCTGAACTTTGGACAAAATATTCTGATGTGGCCCTTCTCCTTGCAGTGATGACAATGGATGTTGGCAAACTTGTTGGACTTCCCTCGACTCTTGGCTCTTTGCTTCGAGCCTCTCGCTTCACTTCTTCCTCTGCTTCTAGAATCCACCGCCAAATGGTCTGACTGGGAAGATGATGAGGATGCACCTTGTGATCTTTTCTGCATCTCTTCATTCAGGACTCCGCTTTTGATAACCTCCATGCTGATAACTCCATCTTTCGCAGAGTTGGTAAGTGAAATCTTCAATGTCTTCCACGATTCTGGAAGGGAAGCCAGAACCAGGAGAGCGACCACCTCATCTTCCATCTTTATGCCCATACCGGACAACTGATCCACGATCCCTTGAATTTCGTTCAAGTGATCCGCCAAGGATGTGCCTTCCTTGTATTTCATCTAGACCAACTTGGTCAGATAAAATAATTTGTTGTTGCCGGTCTTTGATGCATAAAGTGCCTCCAGCTTGTTCCATAGAGTTCTGGCATGAGTTTCTCCGCTTATGTGGTTGTACACATTGTCGTCGACGAATTGCCGAATGTAGCCACATACTTGCTCATGCTTGAACTTCCATTCCTCTTCAGTTTTGCAACCAGGTTTAGTTGGGCTTAACACCGGCAAATGCAACTCCGTCACGAGTAGGAGATCCTTCATCTTGTTTCTCCATATGTGATAGCTGGAGCCATTCAAACTTATCATCTTGCTTGTTTTTGGCTCCATTTGGACGTGGCTCTGATACCACTTATTGGGCGCAGCTGGTGAGAATAGCGGGTAAATATATTGCACTAATAAATCACACGCTTGTAAAAAGTTCACAGGTAAGTTGGACCTGGTGGCAGAGCCTCCAAAATTACGGTAACCAACTTACTTAGATCAATTTACTTCGGTAATTTAATAATGCAATATACTACGACTATTCTCAAAATAACAACAAGCATAGACGGTAAGTAAATAACACCGAGGATTTACGTGGTATACCCTGATTTTGGGCCAGTCCACGGGAACAGCAGCTCCGGATTATTTCTTCACTATAACAATGGTAGGTTACAGAGATTTTCTCGAAACAAGAAATAGAACACACGATGTTTCCCAAACAACCTCACGATTTCACACACAAGAAATTCTCCTATCTACCCGTGATTGTGAAAACGTTTCACAACCGAAACCACAAGAAAGAAATAAAACTGAGAGCTAGCAAAGAAGAATGATGAAGATGGAAAAATGGGATGCTTTCCAAAGGGAACCCAACGTCCCTTTTATAGCAAAAGAAGAGGGAACCAAATTTATGAATTTGGTTGGGAGTTCACCTGCTTCATCTGCTCGCCACTCACTTTTTTTTCTTTTCCTTTTTTTGAATTACCACCGCCAATCCTCTACCACATGAGCCGGTCCCAACACTTCGTCGAGGCATTCTCCCCCGGCGCCGCCGACCCTGAACATGAAGTCAAAACTGAAACTCCCACAAAGTATAGTTCTTAGCATTGAAGCGGACAACAATCACATCATTCTTCGAGCCCTCCATGATATCACGCAACACCAAAACACCCTGAACACGAGACAACACACGAATACAAGAAGCCACAAAAAACCTTGAAGCACAAACACAATGAATCCCTCCAGACAAATCCCACGAACACAGCAAGCACGAGAAGCACAATCAAATCACGAGTGAGAGACAAGAGGCTCTGATACCATGTCAATCGCTACTAGAAAACGAGAAACACAAGACACGAGATTACGTGGTTTCCCCAACGATATGATCGTTGAGACTAGTACACGGCACAACGGTAGAGTTTGAGTTTTATTATCGTAGAAGTTAACTGTACAAGGCTGCCAATCAACATATATATACGGCCAATGCTACTAACCCTAAACACGGATAATTACAATATGATACCCATAGTACTAACATCGACCACCCTTTTGATTGAATGCCCAATTGCCCATTCGTTCCTCTTTTACTTGTAGTCTTTCTTGGCCCTTTTCTCTTTGCATATCGCTTTATGAGAAGGAAATTGATTTGAACAGTGAAAGGATAAAATTCATGGCTTGGTACTTGATAGACAGATAGAGGGATAGGAGAGGAGAGGAAGTGAAATGAAAGAACAGCCCAAAACTTGATAGACATGACAATTCTTCTTTGTTCCACTTTGAATCAATTCCCTAGTGCCCTTCATCATCGTTTCTGTGTCTTTGTTAAATGCTCACTGTAATGATTCCTAGTTAGTCATCATTTATTAATTTAGGGATTACTTTGTTATTTGCACTCCTACATGTTGCACGAGAAAAGGAGTTAGGGTTTGTTTTTATTTATATAACTCGGCTCCTCTTGTCGCAGAACAAAAGAGGTAATACAATCATACAAGTTTTTCTTCGAGAGCTCCAAATTCTCCGTGGATTTGTCGCGTTCACATTCAACGGGGACATCATGTAAATATCTATTCTTTTCTTCCGTTCATTATCGAATTCTACACTAACTGGATGGATGGATGGATGGATGGATGGATGGTCTTCAGTTCCAATGCACTAATCACCGTTCATTTCTCTACTTGTTTGCTGCCTGGTTGATTGGAGATCGTCGGTTCACTGCTTTCCCGACCCATGTCGCAGTACTGCTACTAGTCTCCTTTCCCCTAATCTCTCTTCTGTTGGCAACTCCGCGCAGTTGAATCTATTGAGGTGCAACTTTGATTTTCTTCGTCAACGATGCTTTCCTGTGTCAACAACAACAAGTCAATCCCATGGCCATTGCACATAAGTCGAAAGCTGGATAGCATATCAAAATTCAGTGGTTCTTTTAATAGCTTGAGTTGTTGTTGGGAAGCAAGAAAAAAAGGGATTAATTTCCAAAATACAGTAATAATTAAAAAAAATTCCCAGAATACCAAACTTTTAAAAAAAATTCCCAAACTACCAAAGTTTGACATAGTTCGAGTTTACAAAACTCGAACCAGTAGTGGATCGATTGTCAAAAACTCGATCCAGGTGTATCGAGGACGGGACACTCGAACCACATGAAGTGGATTGATGAGCTGGGCAGCGCTCCACCATAGATCGATTTACTAGGACGCGATCAGAGTCGTTCGATTGTTCAACCATCGAAGCAATGATGACGCGGATCGAGTGCGGTAAACTCGAGGTATGTGGATCGAGTCTTCTACAATCGATCCAGTTGACGCGGATCGATGACGTCAGGCGCGCCCAACCGTTGATCGAGTGGTCTAAACTCGATCTAGGCCGTTCGATTGTCAGTCCCGCGAAGCAGGTATGACGCGGATCGAGTGCTTTAAACTCGATGACGCGGATCGAGTGTCTAAAACTCGATGCAGTGGATCGCTGATGTCAGCATCGATCAACCGTTGATCGATTACCCTAAGCTCGATCTGGTTCGTTCTTTTTGACGCGGATCGAGTGCATAAAAATCGATGCACTTGTTCGAGTTTGGCAAACTCGATCCACTCTCCCACAGAACCTATAAATACCCCCACATATTCCACCAAAACTCACACCACTCCATTCTTCTTCCTCTCTTCCTCCCACCACTCTTGAAGAAAAAAATATGCTCTGTGGTTGCGGCAAAGCCCGATCTTCCGCATCAGATTTTTTTTCTTTAGTTTGGTACTTCTATCACTCAAAATTGTCGAGATGGATCCGAGTATTTACGATCCTAGATTATACATTCAAGGTGGACCGCGAGAAACCGATTTGTTGGATGAGCAACCTTACCATCGGTCTGAAAGTGTTTGGGCGGCAGATCCGGTAGGCACTTCCTCATGTACTTTTTTTTAATGTGATAGTATTCTTCTAATTTTTTTGTATAATAATTAATGTTTTTTTTTCTACAGGAACAACTTGACGTAATCACCCATCGGTCGCTATCTCGCTTGCCTAAATGGGATGATCGTATCGAGCCCTTCATATCTAGAGCGCGATTGCTGAGGGTGCGAAAGTTTGTGGGGATGGAGATGGACAACAACCTTCTTACGGCAATGGTGGAAAGATGGAGAAAAGAAACGCACACATTCCACCTTCTAGAGGGAGAGATGACGATTACGTTGAAGGACGTAGCCATGCTGACAGAGCTTCCAATCGATGGTGATGCAATAATAGAAAGTTCTTCAAAACCATTGAATGGTTGGGGCCAATATATAAGCGAGCGTTTAGGCATCATCATCCCAGAGGAAGCAGAAGAAGGTCGTCGTGTACCACCTCTACACAAGTCTATGCTATTGATACCTTGGCTAGTGAGGACCGCTGGGGAATTACCGGAGGATGCCACGGATGCTCAGATAGAGAGGTATGCTCGCATCTACCTTATTTGTTTGGTTGGAGGATTTTTGTTTCCGAACAAGTCTGGTGGAAATATGCATTGTATGTGGCTTCGAGTTCTTTTGGAAGATTGGGATGAGATTGGGAGAAAAAGTTGGGGATCTGCTTGTTTGGCGAGGATATATTCGGAGTTGTGCAAGTGTACGGATCCGAAAACAAAGCAAGCAGGTGGTCCCATGTTCATCCTCCAACTATGGGTTTGGGAGCACCTTCCTACTTTCGCTCCGATCTGCCCTGCCAACAGTTGGGGTCCCGATGAGCCACTACGACAATGGGCTTATGGTGCTAGATGGATTGGAGCTATCACGAGTTTCTCCTCTCTAGATGGGTACCGCCAACATCTTGACCGTATAGAATTCAACGAGGTAACATTCTAACTTATGATTATTTATTTTTAATTTATTTGTTGAAGTTATTTGTCTTAGCCTATGATTTATTTTTATGATTATGAATTCTATTTTATTTGTTGAAATTATTTTTCTTAGCCCATTATTTATTTTTATGATTATGAATCCTATTTTATTTGTTGAAATTATTTGTCTTAGCCCATTATTTATTTTTATGATTATGAATCCTATTTTATTTGTTGAAATTATTTGTCTTAGCCCATTATTTATTTTTATGATTATGAATCCTATTTTATTTGTTGAAATTATTTGGCCCGATTTTAATTTATATGTTGTGTTGAAACTTAGGTGGAGTGGGATCCGTATCCGAACGGAGCAAAGGATTTGTACGAGTTGCGATACCCTGAGGATCGCCGACTCTGGTCGTGCAAGTTGCCTGTGATTTGCCACAACATTGCCGAGTGGCACCTCCCGGATAGATGTGTCCGACAATATAATTGGACGCAACCGATTCCTCTCCCACCACCGGACGTACATAAGTCACTCCACAAGTACAGCAAGGATTTGCGGGGTACAATAACTGATTGGCCAACCAAGCACCGTAGATGGATCGAAATGTGGGAGTCTCGTCAGACGTATGCAATTGATGGGATCCCAATGACGAGGCCAATGGGGTACCAAGATGAATACATGGTTTGGTACCGCAAGTTCACAAAAAGATGGGAAACCAAACGTGGCGCCGTGATCGGTTCATTGGTAAGCACAATATCTATTTACTATAATCACCTTTAGCTACACAAATAGTGTTTGACTAACATGTTTATTATTTAGGTTGATGGGTTGGAACTTGCATCAATGACGTTGGAGAATGAACCAGAAGATAATGTGCCCGGGGAGAAAATTTCATTCTTGAAGAAGCTCTTCAAGAATCTCTTGTCATGTTCGCGGGAAATCCGAAGGGATGTCATTGCATATCCTCCTGCTCCTGCACCGCCACGTCCTTCCTCCCACGCCATTGAAGTTGAATCTCTCCCGCCATCACCACCAAGGAGGAGTAAGCGTCGGCAAGAGCCCGTTACAGTCCCTGTGCATGTACGAGAAGATGTGGCACTTCCTGACCCATATGAGTATGGATTCCCTCCCGCCAGAAGGGAATTTGGAGAGGGATCATCAGGTTCTGCTCAAGGAGGGGGAGGAGGAGCCTACTATTCACCGTATGGTCATCAATTTCAAACCCCGCATCAAAGCTTCCAGACTCCGATTCCAAATGTTTATTATGGTCCTCCAACCACTGCAACCCCACCTCCATTGCCACGAAACACTGGAATTGGATATGGAGTTCGTTCAAGGAATAGACGTCGAAGGGAGGGACGCGGACGTGGAGCACAAGAGTGAGGTGTTCTTTAGAGTTGTTAAGTTATTCTATTTCTTTAGAGTTGTTAAGTGGTTCTATTTCTAATGACGTTGTTCCGTTGTTCTATTTCTAATGACGTTGTTCCGTTGTTCTATTTCTTTAGAGTTGTTTAGTTGTTCTATTTCTTTAGAGTTGTTAAGGTGTTCTATTTCAAATGACGTTGTTAATTTGTTCTATTTCTCAAATTGTTAAGTTGTTCTATTTTACAACATAAAGTTTTTAAATCACACCATAAAATTCAAATCACAACACAAAGTTCTTTAATCACACCACACCATAAAATTCAAATTACAACATAAAGTTCTTAAATCACACCATAAAATTCAAATTACAACATAAAGTTCTTAAATCACACCATAAAATTCAAATCACAACACAAAGTTCTTAAATCACACCACACCATAAAATTCAAATTACAACATAAAGTTTCAATTATCAGTCGATGGCCCTGGACACTGGCGCCTATCATGCCCTTCAACTCGACATGCAGAGCACTTCTTCGGGCGGCGTCGCTGTGTCCTTGATCTATCCATTTCATTTGCAATTCGGTTAACTCTAGGTCGACCTTTGGTACGCTTCAAGTGCTCGGGAGGGTACACTACAGGTCCATCATACTGGGGCCAATATGCTTCATGAGCCAAGGGAAAGAACGACCCTTCCCAAACTCTGACCACGTATGGAGTCTTGTAGTATGGACTAACAAATATCAACGGGTCCAAATTAACGCTTCTCGCAGCTGCATATGCATGAGAGCAAGGCAGATGTCTCCCTTGAAACTTCCCACAAGTACACTCTCCAATTCCATTCTTTGCATCCAGTATAACTGTTTGAGCATTACCACCCTTTGAACTATCTGGTCCACTTCCTGTTACTACTGCGAAGCGGGAATCTCTTCGACTAAATAAAGTCACCTTATGCCATTTTGCCCTTTCTGACCATGGTTTCATATCATCTGTAATCTTCTTTGGGATGTAGATTCCAGCATTCAACATCTGATATGCTGCTTGGTAGCGTTCAACGAACCATGTCACCGTACGAAAGAAGGTATGCAAGACTATAGATGAGATAGGCATTGCACGAAGACCAACATACAAACCATTGAGGCACTCACCCATATTCGTTGTTGTTATTCCATACCTATACCCTTCGTCTTGATGTAACGTCCACCTCTCGTAAGGATGAGTTTCTAGCCAATCTGCACCTTCAGAATGGACCTCCCTTATGCTCTTCATTTTGTCTACAAACTTTCTAGTCTGAAAAGCAATAGCTACAATAAAGTAAAATAAGGTTAGTAAAGGAGTATACGCATTCAAGCAATTGATATAATCACAACATCTTATTTGTTCTTACCAGCGTGCCAAACTGCACGTTGTCCATAAGTTCTACCAAAGTGCTTCCCGTAATTGCTTTTGAAATGTCGTATGCACCAGCGCCACTTCCACCCTAGCTCCTCGGGCAGGTCGTAGAAAGCATGTGCAATTCCATGGTGTCGATCAGAAAGTATGGCAATGTCCTTCCGTTGAGTGACACGAGTGTATAGTTGGGAAAAAAACCATGCCCAACTTAAGTTGTTCTCCGATTCGACTATAGCAAAAGCAAGGGGGAAAAGTTGCATACTGCCATCAACACTAGTGGCAACGAGTAGAGTGCCCTTGTATTTGCCGGTCAGAAAGGTCCCATCAACTTGGATTATTGGCAGACAATGGGTGAAACCATCAATGCATGGTTTGAATGCCCAAAATACTCGCTTAAACACGCGTTTAGCACCCCCATAGAAATCTTCGTAACTAGACACAAAAACAGACCCAGGATTCTTGTCCTCCATTGCAAGAATCAAACGAGGCATGTTAGCAAATGACTCTTCCCAATCACCATACACCTCTGCCATAGCTTTTTGCTTCCCATGCCATGCTTTCTTGTAACTGATGGTATAGCCATGTCGATTCTTCACTTCAGCGATGACACTCTTCACGGTGATCCCAGGTTGTGCCTCAATCAGATGTTTGATTGTTTGTGCAACCTTCCTTGCACTCAATTGTCGGTGATCTAGAGAAATCAGTGACGACCTACAAGTGTGGTTGTTGTCTGTCTTACGAATGAGCCAAGCCCCATTTCTTTTAACATATGCCGCCCGAACATTCCACATGCATCCGTCGCCATGGTTCTCGCAACGAACATGAATTTGTTTAGTGTCAGAAGTGATGACACGATATTGAAAGCTTCTTCGCATAGCAGTTTCTTTCAATGCATCGACCACCTGAGGCTTTCCTCCAAATGTTTGGCCAACCACGAATCCAGAGTCAGGAGTCCATATTGGTATAGGAGGGAGGTCAGGATCGTCGTTGTGAGCATAGAGAGGATGTTGTGGCACCATCGTGTAGTGAGGTGTGGGGGGCTCAAATTCCCCCTCATCAACTTCCAGATCTTCACCATCTGAACTACTCATAGATCCTAACTCTTCATCTTCCATGTCGCTTGCCTCGCTAGTGTACGGAGGACTTGGTTTATCCACATATGGATCATTGTTGATGCCAGATGCTGGTGTAGATGCTTGTCTGGGTGCCCTTATGTAATCCCATTCTTCACCCCATACTGGCCACTCCTGTCTGTCATGTTCCACCAATGGACCAGTTGCAGTTCGATCCTCGTATGTTGGCCATGGAACATCATGCCGCACTCTGAAATCTCCTGAACCGGAAAACCCTCCAGATCCTTCACCGTGTTCGGTATAACCGCCGCCACCATATTGGCCAAAAACTTCTGTTTCGACATACACCTCAGCACTTGGAAATCTGTTCTCTGCAATAAATCTCACCATCATATTAATGTCATCATCGTCAGACAAAACTGATCCTTCATATACAAGTGCATAATCCTTGTAAACCGGCATACGGTAAGTCATCTTGCATACTCTTCGCCCTGCTATGCAACATCGTTCAGCACAAATATGACTGAGTTCTTGCCAAGTAAATATGCTCTCAATCCGGACAATACTTGATTCACCATCTTCGTAGTCAATACTATCATGAAAGTGTGTAATTCGACCATTCCACCGAATCTTTAAGTCGAATTTTCGAAATTTTCTACCCATTTCTGCAGTTTATACAAGCAGCTCATTACATACAGTACAAACAATACTAAATTAATCTAAAATTCTAATATGCTCATTCAAACAAAGTAAGCAGAACTTACCTCCAAATTTTATCTTCTTTGCTCAGCTATGGTGCTCCAGCAGCTGCAGTTTGTGTTTGGAAGAAAGAAGATAGAAAGGAAGAGTGCTGCCAGAAAGTGCTTTTATTTATCGTAAACTGATGGAGTGGGTCGAGTCCAGTACACTCGAACTACACTAGTTCGAGTTTATTAAACTCGATCTACGTCGACCAATAATTTCCCCCCCCCCCCCTGCGCCCTATTCTGTGGCATGTCGGATAGAAAGCGACTGGACAGAATGATTGAGCAAGTAGTTCGAGTTTAGTGTAATCGAACTACACTAGTTCGCGTTTCTAAAACTCGATCTGCTACAACAAAAATCTTATCCCTGTAACCCTATCCTGGAGCATGTCGGTGGGCAGTAGTTCGAGTATTATGGCCTCGATCTAGTCCAGACGTAGATCGAGTCAGTTAAAGTCGATGCCCTACATCGAAGATTTTGAAGTCGATCTAACTTGATCGAGTGTTACATACTCGATCTACTGAGATCGAGTCTCCTCTAATCGATCATGGTTGTTCGAGTCTTCTAAAGTCGAACCACTGTTGATCGAGTATTTAAAAGTCGATCCACTTTTGGTTCGAGTTTCTTATCGTCGATCTTGTTAGTAGTTCGAGTCCCATAAACTCGAACCCCTTGAAACTTGGGTAATTTGGGAAAATTTTATAAAACTTATGTATTCAGGGAATTATGTATAATTTTGGCTGTATTCTGGGAATTCTTCCGAAAAAAAGAATGATCGACCTGATGGCGTCTTGGACCAGTGGATTCCTCAAGCACCCAGCGAGGATGCTGTCTACATCTTTCAAGTCCACTTCTCGAAGCAAGAACACCTCCACTTGGGTTAAGCACTTTACTGTTCTCCGGCTGATTAATCTCTGCCCCATTTCCGTCCCTTGTGGAAAAATTTATCACTCAACACATCAGAAATGTTGGTTGGTTTTGCTTGATAAGAACGACTCAGAGCAGGCTGTACTACCTAGGTAATTGAATACCTTTGCTCAATGAAGAAGCATGCTGACGACACCATGTTAGCAGTTCATCTCCACAGACTTGGCCTTGCGACAAAGTGATTACAGTTCCATTCTCACCTACGCTCTTCAACTTTCCCCGCACGATGAGCACCATCTTATCCACCACTCCGCCGGTGCAGAAGATTTCACTGCCCTTCTTGTATGTTCTCTGCTTCAGTTTCTCGTAGATGGCGTCCAGTTCATTGTTATGGATCTCCATATTAAATATGCCCACCTGCATGCACGCAGTTCAAATGTTTGCTATCATGTTGCAACGAAACGATTGAGCAAAATGGATCGGAGGTGGTATTCAAAATATTCTTCTTCTTCTTCTTCACGACTTACATCCTTGAGAAACCTGAATAAATGCCTTCTAACTTCTCTTCGGAGATCTTCAGGCAAACTCTCCAACAGCGCTTCTTCATTCACTCCTCTGGTAGCAGCCCAATTATGACGTTCAGCTTCATTCACTGTCCTGTATCCGACCAAAATTTTTAGTAAGACTAACCGAATAATAATAATAATAATAATAATAATAATAATAATAATAATAATAATAATAATAATAATAATAATAATAATATTATTATTATTATTATTATTATTATTATTATTATTATTATCATCCAAAAAGTTATTAGTGGACACTATTCATTAGTGTCAAATCAATGAAACTTTTTTATTAATTATTTTTTCATAAAATTTTATTAATTAATCAATATTTAAGCAATTTTTTAAGTGGCATTCAATCTAATGCATACGAGTTTTGTCCATCCAATGGGCGGCGAGTATCATTCGTTTGTACTTTTCTTTCTATTATCTGTCATTTTTTCTTCTATCATTTAACTTGATTAGACCGGTACAACTTGAATTGTGCACCAGGTTGAAGAGTTTTGAGTCAGAAGCAAATTTTACCTGCTTTGGTAATTGACGGGTTAGGTCGGGTGTGGATTTTGTTAAAAACTCGGTTCACTTTTCACTGTTCAGCACCAAAAAAAAAAAAAACAAAACAATCGACTTGGTTAAAGAACGAGTTGAATCTGGTGTTGACAAGTTTTGATTCGGGAGCGAGTTTTATCCTCTTTTGATATTAATTATTTTTTTATTAATTTTTATTAATTAGTCAATTTAAGTGTCTAATTTCTTAAAGTAGCAATCAGCCTAATGGGTATTCAACCTAATTTGAACCGGCCAACGCGAGTTGAACTCGGTATTGACGAGTTTTGTGTTGACAGTGGTGTCACATCACTAATGAATTTTTTTTATTAATTCCTTATACAAAGAACTAACTATATATATGTATGGTGCTTGTTCGGCGTACTCACAAAAATGAGTACATTTAATGCACTCAACTCTTTATCGTATCATAACTGACGATTTACATCAGTTTAATATGAATCGTCTTCTATGCGTGAGTGCATTGAATACATTGAAATAAAAAAAGTAAACCGTAAGATGAAACCATATATAATATATATAAGATGAGTTGTGAGGGTACTATTCCGTAGTATCATATCGCTAAAGAATATTTTATTAATTAATAAAAACTAAGTGGCATTTAACTTTCATTTTATGATAGTTTAACCCAAACTAATGGATATTTAATTTAATTCAGCCTATATAAAGCAAGTTAAACTCGGTGTTGATGAGTTATTGGTCGTAAGCGAGTTTTACTTGTTTATTGCTATTATTAATATTAGATCCATATAATGCGAGTTGAACTCGGTGTTGACGAGTTCTCGACTAAAGTGAGTTTGACCCGTTTATTATTATATAATCAAAATTTTAAGTGTTATTTAAAATTTCATTCCATTTCCTTTTATAACAGTTGAGCTCAAACCAATGAGTTGGGTGTGGATTTTGCTGAAAACGCGACCCACTTTATCAAAATTTAAGTGTCATTTAAACTTTCAGTGGGTTTTCTTTTATGACACAATTAAAATAAAATCTATGGGTATTCAAATTAATTGGGTCTAGTTAGAGCAAGTTGAACTTGTTGTTGACGGGTTTTGGGTCGGGAGCGTGTTTTACCCGCTTTTGTAGTGACATGCTTTTTCCGTGTTGATTTTGTAAGAACCTCAGCAATTTTCTATCCAAGCAGCACATAAAGAACAAATCAATCTATCGGTCAAAGCGGGTTGAACACGTTATTAATGGGTTTGAGTCGGTACAGAGTTTTACCTACTTTCTTGATTCATGGGTTGGGTGTTGATGTGGTTAAAATTCGGCTCGTTTTCCATCCGACCAGTACCCAAAAAGCAAAACAATGTCATTTTGTGGACGGGTGTCCAACCTAATTTGACATGGTGAGAGTGAGTTGAACTTGGTGTTGACGAGTTTTGGTCAGGAGCGAGTTTTACCTGCTATACTAGATGGCGGGTTCGGTTGGATTTTTATTTTTTAACTCGACCTGCTTTCCATCTGACCCAACCCAAACAAATAAAACAACGGGTTGAATGTGGTGTTAACATATTTTGGGTTAGAAGCGAGTTTTACCAACTTTTGTAATTGGCGGGTTGGTTCAGGTGTGGATTTTGCATTAGATAAACAAAACAATTTTGAATTCCCTGTGTAACATACTCTCTATACATTTTCAAAACACATTTGTATTACGAGATGGTATTTAAAACTATTATGTGATAAATTGATAATGTCAATATTCATAATCTTAACTAACTATTTAAATCTCATATAACTATAATTAAATTCACGGCAGGTCGCATCACGAATTTTTCGGCGCTAATTTCTAATAATTATGCCGGAAAATAACAAAGCTGGTTCGTTCGCTGATTTAATCTACGAAGAGGATTGAAGACAACTCTTGCATCTAAATAAGGACTTATACGAAAACTTGATCAATGAGATTTCTTCATTGACTCTCTATTAGATTCATGTTAACTATTGAGACATTCACTATCAACCTGAAAGATACATAAATTTGTATCCAAGCTGGACGCTTTAGAAAGTGGAACACATATATGAATGTGGTACCTCCTTAGTTCTGGTGGCAAACGCCGATGATTCATCCACTGTTCCAGATCACGTCGCCTTAGAAACATTTCTAATGTCCTAAAATATGAAATGGACACAAAGTATTCGATTACTTAGCGAAAGTAGAATGATCAATCATAGACTAAGTATAGGCCGTGATAGGCAAAATTAAGAAAGAGGGAAAACAATAATGTACCTCTGCCCAAGAGCCTGAAGAAAGTTCTGCATGTTGCCAATGAGAAATGCAAAGAGCAACAAGCCAAGTCCAACAATTAGCATTGTGAAAAGGACTTCCCAAACAAAATAGCTTGGTTCCTGGTTTCCAGCAAGAGTGCTGATTTGCTTCACCAAGAGTAAAAAATGAACATGCATGCATGTTAGAAGCACAGCAAGAAACGATAACAAAAATACCAATACAAAAAGCTTATAGTTAAGAGGAATTTTACAATGATTTAAAGTATTTGTGCTTTATTTTTTGCCTTTATTATTTTTCTTTTGACGGGAATTTGCATTTCATTAGAAAGTTACAATGGGCCCAGCGAAGCTCGATGCAAAACGGCCTCAAGCAGTAAGAGAAAAGAAATCGGTGGGCTATCCACCCAGACCACCTGGCGATCCCACACTCCAACAGAGTGGGCAAGCCAATGAGCGACACCATTGTTCTTCCAAGGTGAGAAGTTCCACATCACCTAAATCCGAGAAAAGCTCGAGTTAATTTCTCTCATTCTCCAGATCTCCTCACACCAACTTCTCAGCTCAGTCCGATCTCCCTACCTCTTCATCAGCTTCCGAATTAGCACCTAGCAATCCGATTCCACAATAAGAGGGCTTATCTCTCTTCTATTAGCCTCTCGAAGTCCCATCAATCACACCCTTGCCTCCGCTTTGATAGGTCTGCACACTCCCTTCTCCTTCATAGCAATGGCCCCTCTTAATTCTCCCCTCCAATCCCGGAGGATGCATCCAAGAAAAGTTATAGCTTGCTGCAAAATTCCCGCATCAGAGTTTAATTTGAAGACTCCCTCAGGTGGCGACATCTATATGTCTGTAGACGAATATGTTGCATGTTGTGGAGAGAGACTCCAGGGAGCTATGAGCATCCAGGAAGTAGCCTAACCAAGCCAACGTTCGGGGGATGATCTCGTCCTCAGCAAGTTTATGATTGTTGTTCAGATGATTGCAACGTTCTTTCCACAGGTACCACATCACTACACTAAATTGTTGGAGTTTCCCTTCATCAAACTTCCTTAAACCATTCCAGACAATATTTTCCCTCACCAATCTCATACAACTCTTTTTCTTCCCATCCCTGCCATGTGTCTTAAGATTATGGTACAACTTTCGGGTTGTACCTATACTCTTTAGTAAAATTTCTTTATGGTTCAAACTATAAGTGTACCTTTCATAAAGGTCAAATTCTCTTATATTATAACTTCAATTTATAGTTTTATTGTTATGGTAAAACATAGTAGAAGTACTCTATGTAAATCAAGTTATTAGAACAAATCCTTAAAAAAAAAAAAAAAAAAAGCTGTCATTCATAATAATATGCATGCAAGCTTAAGAAGAAGACAATACAAATACATAAATAGTGAATAACAAATGCATGGGTAAGTAAAAAAGGATAGATGATACCACTCAAGTAGATAACAAACTATATGATTACCTGAAAACCCCAGAACAATGAATATATGTATCTGGTGATGAAACTATCTTCTGTGGTGAGGTTGACTGCCTGAGCAAAAATCCCATAAGAAAAACCACCACCACCACCACTTGTCGTAAAACATGCAGTCGCATTCACATCACTTATCCAATTCTTCCATTCCGGGTTGCGAGATAATTCCATGAATTCTTCACCGTGGCCACAATCTATGAAATTCATGCAATTGGTGATATTAGAATTATGGCAAGCATCACGGAAGCACTGATTAACCCTCTGCACACCAAAAAAAAAAATCAAAATAAGAATGTTACGATATTTATCAAACAAACAAGAGATGCCTCTGATATATATGTTTTTAGGTAATTACCTGTAATCCAAAGAGGTACCAACATGCCCCGATTACATGGCCAGACAAGACAAAAGTGAGAAAGTTGATAACCAAGTTTGCCCATGCCGTCTGAAATGTGAAGCCACTCTCCGCCCGACCAATCACAAGTGGTAAGAACCTCCACAACCTGGGAACATATTGCACAACAACGGCTGTCCTCAGAAGGTTTTTAGCGTAATTGGCTCCCGATGATCCCAACTCGCCTGGCAGAACCAGTAATACGATGATCTGCGCGCATAATATTTATTTATTTATTGAATGAACATCATAAGAGAAACCTAGCTGCTAGTGTAGCAGCAGGTTGTTAGGAGGAAGAAGAATGCGAGCAAATGAAATTGTGAGGAAACCCGCAAAAGTGCTCAGGCTCCATTTGTTGGTATTTATACTCTGTTTACAGAAGGTAAAGAAGATAAACAGTAAAACTTGAAATGTCTGTTAAAACAGTAAATCAAATAAAGCATAAATGACGATGCCACGTGTCTTCGCTTGATTGGCCTTCGTGTCTCCACCCAACGGTTAGTTCCAGCTTCCACGACGTCGCTTTAGCCTTTGCTGCGTGTTAGGTGGAGGGGAAGGCAGAAACGTTTCGTTTCTGCCTGGGTAATTTGTTCTTCATTCTTCAGCAGAGCAACTGACCTTCTTCTTCTTCAATGCTGCTCCGTCAATCTGCTCTGTTACTCCCCCATAAGTTGGCGAGGACATGTCAATGACTCCCAACTTATCAAGTAGAGACCTCAGCCTGTAACGAGTCAACCCTTTAGTGAATAGGTCAGCCAGCTGGTCATCTGTTCTAACATGTTGTAACTTGATCATCCCAGATTTAAGTCTCTCCCTTGTAACATGGCAATCTATCTCAATATGCTTCGTCCTCTCGTGGAAAACGGGGTTTTCAGCTATATGAATAGCTGATTGATTGTCACAGAAGACTTCAATTGGTAATGGCACTTTCACCCCAATTTCTGCTAACAGGCTTCTTAACCATTCCAATTCACAAACCAAATGGGCCAATGCTCTGTATTCAGCCTCTGATGATGATCTTGAAATTGTTGTTTGCTTCTTCGATTTCCAGGTAAGTAGAGAACCTCCAAGCAAGGTACAATAGCCTGTCACTGACCTTCTTGTGTCAGGGCAGCTTGCCCAATCTGAGTCTGAAAAACCAGTCAGCTCCATATTTGTTCCTGCCTTGAAGAGAAGTCCCTGTCCTGGTGCATGTTTTAAATACCTCAGTATCCTGTAAGCTGCCTGCAAGTGATCCGTGTAGGGATCCTTTTGAAACTGACAAAGCTGCTGTACTGAGTGTGTTAAGTCTGGTCTAGTGATTGTAAGATAATGCAATCTTCCAATTAACCTCTTATAAACTTCTGGGTTTGTCAGAGGTTCTCCTTGTTTTGCAGTCAACTGAATCTTACAATCTGCAGGTGATAAACAACCCTTTGCATCCAAATACCCTGTATCCTCCAATAAATCCAAACAATACTTTCTTTGGTTCACAAAGATACCTTTCTGATCCCTGTAAACCTCTAATCCCAAGAAGAACTTCAACTCTCCCAGATCCTTTACTTTAAACTCCCTTCCCAAGAACTTCTTGGTCTGTTCAATGTCACTCAAAGAACTTCCTGCTATCAAAATGTCATCTACATAGACTAAGACAACAAGCATTCTTCCCTGAAACCTCCTGACAAACATGGAATAATCTGATGCTGCTTGGGAGAAACCATTCTTCAACAGAGATTCTGTTAACTTGGCAAACCATTGCCTGCTGGCCTGTTTTAAACCATAAAGAGATTTCTTTAGCTTGAGTACTATCCTTGGATCTGAAACAACATAACCAGGTGGAGGCTTCATGTAAACATCCTCATTCAAATCTCCATGAAGAAAGGCATTGGCAACATCCATTTGATGGATGTGCCAATCCTTTGAAGCTGCCACAGACAACAAGGCCTTGACTGAATTGATTTTTGCAACTGGGGAAAATGTATCGAAGAAATCAATACCATAGATTTGTGTAAACCCCTTCACAACCAGTCTGGACTTGTGTCTTTCTATGGAACCATCTGCTTTATGTTTAATCTTGTATACCCATTTATTTCCAATGGCCTTTTTCCCTTCTGGCAGAATTACTTCTTCCCAAGTTTGATTAGCTATCAGGGCATCCATTTCAGTGTTCATAGACAGCCTCCAAACCAACTCCTTACAAGCTTCTACATAAGACTTAGGTTCTACTGCATTCATAATGCTTAACACATATGTCTTGTGTGGTTCAGGCAGCTGCTCAAATGAGACAAAATGCTCAATGGAGTGGCTGCTGGTAGCTGCTGCTGAAAACACATAATCCTTATGCCAAACTGGCTTAGTCCTATGTCTGGTAGGTTTCTGGATTACAGGATCCTCCCCCTCTTCTATAGGTTCCTGAACACACAGTTCTTCCTCCCCCTCAAAATGCAGATCAGGGAACTCTTCTGGTGTAGAAGAAAGGTGGGAAGGAGTACTGGCAGTAGCAGGTGAAGGAGTAGAGGTAGAAGAAGAGGGTGGCTGGGAAGCATTTTGAGAGTATGGTGAAGGAACTGATGGGGAGAAGTCATCAGCAGGGAGTGGAGAGTGAATAGGAAGTAGAGGATCAGGATGGAAGAAAGAAGAGGAGGATGTTTGGTCTGTGGGGAAAGTGGAGGAAGAAGAGGTAGAAGAAGAAGAATTGGTTTTAAAAGGAAAGATTTGCTCATGAAAGACAACATGTCTAGACAAGAACACATCATGAGTATTCAAATCAAAGAGTTTATAACCCTTGATTCCAGGCAGAAAACCAAGGAAGATGCACTGTCTAGCCCTGGGGTGAAATTTGGTCCTATCTCTAAGAAGAGTAGAGGCATAGCACAAACTGCCAAAGACCTTAAGATGAGAAAGGGTAGGGGGTTTGTTGTTAAGAATTTCAAATGGGGTAAGGTCTTGGAGGATAGGGGAAGGAATCCTGTTAATAAGGTGCACTGCATGTAAAATGCAGTCACTCCAAAAGATCAAGGGTAAACCAGCCTGAAAACGTAGGGCCCTAGCAACATTTAAAATGTGCTGGTGCTTTCTTTCCACACGAGCATTTTGCTCAGGAGTTTCTACACAGGAAGTTTGATGCTCAATTTCATGAGCAGAATAGAATGCAGCCATGTGAAACTCACTGCCCTGATCACTACGAATGACTTTAACCAATTTGCCAAACTGCCTGTGAACCATCACACAAAATGCCTCTAGAATTTTGCTAGTTTCTGATTTCAACTTCATCAAATAGGTCCAAACTGACCGAGAATGATCATCCACAATAGTCAAAAAATAGGAATAGCCATCATAAGAGGCAACAGCAAGGGGACCCCATATATCCACATGTTTCAAATCAAAAACAGATTCTGCTCTACTAGAGCTAATAGGGAAAGAAAGTTTTCTTTGTTTGGCTAAATGACAGGTTTCACAATGCTTGACTATAGACCTATTACAGCCAACAAGTTGGTTTTCTCTCTCTCTACTGGGGTGGCCTAGCCTCCAATGCCATAGCTCTATTTGGTGTGGTTGAAAGTTGTAGGTGGCTGCTGTGTGATGGTGAGGTAAGGCTTGAATGTTGGGGATAAGTTGGTAGAGTCCTCTATTTTGTCTGGCGAAACCAATCTGCTTCCTGGTCACTAGGTCCTGAATATGACAAGAGTCAGATTCAAAATGCAAAGAAAGAGGAAGGTCATGGGTGAGTTTGCTGACTGAGATTAGATTGAAAGTAAAGCTAGGGACTAAAAGGACGTTTTGAAGGTATAACCCTGGCTGTAATCTAACTGTACCTATGTGACTGACTGGTATTTTTGACCCATTAGGTAAATACACAAACTGATCAACAGTAGGTTTAGCATCAGTCAAAAGGGATAGAGTACAGCAGATATGGTCTGAAGCTCCAGTGTCTAATATCCAGATTTGAGTCAACCCCATTAAGCCATATTGATTGTGAGAAGAGAGAACAAACTTACCAGAGTAATTAGGAAACTGTGGTAAGTGTTGAGTAACTGAGTAAGCAGCATGTTTGAGAGAGGGTGAGAGTGGTGGTGAAGGACTCATGCTGTCAGAGTGTTGCAGGAGAGATTTGAGCTTGCTGAACTCTTCAGTAGTGAACCATTGACTGTTCTGACTACTCTTTGTATCCAAACTTAAGCTGCTGCCTGTAGAACTAGTGTCCTTACTTTCTGGTTCAGATTGAGTAACAGAACCAACAAAATTGCTTTCTCCTGCCATCCTGGCTTTCTTGTTCTTAAGCCTGTAACACTCCTCCTTCACATGTCCTTCCTTCTTGCAGTATCTGCAGAACTTCCTTTCTGAATCAGGACCATCTCCCCCACCTTTACCTGGTTCAAATGAACTGGAACCTTTCTGCTTATCACTTTGAGCTGCTAGTGCCACTGAGGGAACAGCTCTATTAGAATGACCTTTGTCTGACTTCAGTTTCTGCTCATGTTGCAGGACATCATCAACTGCAGCTTCCACACTGGGTAGTGGTTTCATCATTAACAGCTGAGTTTGAACAACATCAAATTCAGGTCGAAGACCACGCAGGAATTTGATAAGGTACTCAGTGTCTTGCCTTTCCTTAAAACCTTCTACAGCTGCACAAGGTCTGGTTCTAACCATCACACAATCACAATCAATAATAGGGTTGAATTGAAGATATTCTTCCCATAATCCTTTCAAATGAACATAATACTGAGTAACACTCAGACTGCCTTGCTTGAAACGATCTATGGTTCCTTTCAGATTTGCAAGCCTCAAGGCATTACAACTGCCATATCTCTTCTTAAGTTCATCCCAAAGCGTCTGGGCTATCTCATGCTGCAAAACACTGCGACGAATGTCTTTACCAATAGAATTCAGAATCCAACACAGCACCATGGTGTTAGAGGCATCCCACAATAAGAACTCAGGATGAGTACGATCTGGCATAGGCAAGCTACCATCAATAAACCCAATCTTGTGCTTGGTTTTGAGCACCATACGCACTGCTCTTTGCCACATTTGATAGTTATCTTCATCCAATAACTCAGACACTATAGATTGGCCTAGATTCTCACTAGGATTGATATAGTAAGGACTTCCAAATACATAACCCATTTGAGCGTTAGGATTACCATTGTAGATCTGAGCTTGTGCGTCGTTTTGGGTTTGTTGCGTCTGTTGGGTTTGCTGGGTTTGTTGATTCTGAGCATTGCGATTGAAGCTGCCAAAAGGGATCCCTCCATCACCGCTTCCTGAGCTGCTGGGTGGAGTGTTCATTGGATTGATTTTGATGCGGAAAAGCGGATCACCGCTCTGATACCATAAGAGAAACCTAGCTGCTAGTGTAGCAGCAGGTTGTTAGGAGGAAGAAGAATGCGAGCAAATGAAATTGTGAGGAAACCCGCAAAAGTGCTCAGGCTCCATTTGTTGGTATTTATACTCTGTTTACAGAAGGTAAAGAAGATAAACAGTAAAACTTGAAATGTCTGTTAAAACAGTAAATCAAATAAAGCATAAATGACGATGCCACGTGTCTTCGCTTGATTGGCCTTCGTGTCTCCACCCAACGGTTAGTTCCAGCTTCCACGACGTCGCTTTAGCCTTTGCTGCGTGTTAGGTGGAGGGGAAGGCAGAAACGTTTCGTTTCTGCCTGGGTAATTTGTTCTTCATTCTTCAGCAGAGCAACTGACCTTCTTCTTCTTCAATGCTGCTCCGTCAATCTGCTCTGTTACATCATTCCCATGTAATTATTAATTAAGCATTAATTGCATTGAACCCCTAGCTACGTCCAAAGTCAACTTACTTGGGGAAGAGGCGGTGCATTTAACAAGTCGATCAAAAACCATCCACGCATGTAATTCTTTGCAATCTTCTTGGGATGTTTTACCAACTCTCCAGCGCCGAGCTCGGTAGATTCAGGATCTAAATAAGCCAACCTAAACTGTTTCCAATTGAATCAAGTCAAACTAATTAGTTAACAACGGTTGACCTACATGCAAGTAAGTTGCTAAAGGGCAATCTATTTAATTGTACCCGGAGAAGTATGTTCAACAAGTATACAAAATCAGTCAGGCTCCTTAAGACCACAATCGTCGTCGTCAATGGGTAGTTGATGTAAGTGCATTTGTTATCCTGTATCCATAACAAGGAATCAGAGGCATTTCTAAGAGACAAGTGGAATAAAACAAAAATAGCGGTAATACCACTAGTTTTGAATAACTTAAATATTACCTTATCACAAAAAATAACCTATATCACATTTATAAAAAAAAAAAGGCAAGTGTCTCTAAAAAGTTATTCTTTCTCTCTATTGTTTCGTGCTCTGAAGGAAACCCTATTTCCCGATGGTTGCCTCGCCGTCAGCTACACCGCCGGCTGGCAAGGGTTTTCTTCTTGAGCTCAATTGTTCTCTGTGGCTCTTGAGAAGCGACTTGCATATCGTCCTCCAGAGAGAGTATATGATGGGTTTCGAATTCCACAGGCGATTAAGGAGAAGGGCGATGAGCGATGGAAGATGTCCTTGATGGGTCAGTTTGTCGTGAAGCGTCCAAAGGTTGCGGAGCTCCAGTCTTGGCCTAACCGCCTATGGGGAAGCGATGGTGTGATACATGTTTCACGATTTGGTCCCAAGCTACTGGTATTTCAATTTCCATCGCTTTCTTCCTGTGATTGGGTTTTTAAATCGGTGCCTTGGCATTTCGGGGGTGACCCGATTTTCTTTCGAAAGTGGGAAGTGGTTATTCATTGTGTCGAAGGTGGAGAAATTGCCAATTTGGGTAAAATCTGGGGAGTGCATTTGGAATATTTGGGTCAGAATGGAATTGAGTGGGTTGCTAGTACAATAGGAAGACCTCTCTGGACTGATAAAAAAATTAGGGTTGGTGATCAGTTAGGGTTCTCTAAGGTCTGTATTGAGCTGGCAGCAAACTATGATTTCCCAACAAGGATTCGTTTGTATCCCGATAATAATCCCGATTTTGAAACTGGGATTGAATATTTGCAGTTTCCTCATGTTTGTTCTAAGTGATGTCTGTTTGGACATAGTTGTCATCAAGAACCTCAGAGGAAGTGGAGAGGTAAAGAGAGTGTTGCTGAGGTGGAGATATTTGAGGGTGATGAGACTACTCAGACAAGTCTAATGAAGGAAAGAGGCGTCGACTCCTAGCGAGGATGTTGTTCCTCCTAAGGGTGGCATTATTGGTTCTGAGAGTGGACATGATGTTTCTATGAAAGTTTCAGCATCACATATTGAGGGCTTACTCACTAATAAGGAAGTTGAAGTTGTTGAGAGTGTTGTTGAGATGGTGGCTGATTCTACAAGTACTTTATTGTCGGGTGCGATTCTTCTTCAGACTCTTCCTCCAACTGGGCTCCTCCTCCGATTTTTGCACAGATAGTAAGGGGATCATCACCTCTGGATGGGAGTCCTTCTACTAATGGGTAAACTGTTGAGAATGTTAAGTCACTAGTTTCTGGGAGCTTACAGTCTCAACTACCTCAAGGAGATATGGTTCACACTGTGAAGGGTAAGGAGAATGTGAAGCCTCCAAATAACGGTAAGAAAGTTTGGGTGGACTCTCCTTTGATTCCATATCAGCCTAAAATAGGAAGGAAAAGATGAAAATAATTACCTGGAATACTAGAAGATTCAAAGAAGATAGTAAATATAGAGATTTACTAAAGAAAATAAACAAGTATAGTATAGATATAGTAACTATCCTTGAGCTTAGAATAAGAGCCTCTAAGACAGAAAAATTGGTTGAGAAGCAATTTCCCGACTAGGAGACTAAGATAAAGCACAATGCATTTGTTTTGCACTCTTCAGACCAGTTTGTCCAGTTTATGGTGGGGGTACCCAGCCCTTCTTTGGTACTGTAGTGTATGCTTCTAGTAATGAGACTTCTAGACAAATTCTTTATAATGAGCTAAGAAGAATAAAAGTAGTATCTGCTCCGTGGATAGTGTTGGGAGACTTCAATGATATAAGACACCCTTCATAAGCTTTAAATACTCCCAGATTTGATGCAGCCATGACTTTCTTCCATGATTGGATTGTTAATCTTGACTTGGAAGAGCACCAAGCTACTGGCCCTTGGTTTACATGGCTGAATAAGCAAACAGCTAATCCAATTGCTAAAAGATTGGATCGTGTTTTGGTCAATTTTGATTGGTTGGATGCAATTAAAGACTGTAGAGTTCATTTCCAAGCCCCTAGAGTCTTAGATCACTGTCCCATGTCTATTGATACGACAACTTCCTTGAAGTCACTTCCAAAGTCTTTCAAGTTCTTCAAGTTCTGGCTTCATCATCTTAGATTTGATGAGCTACTGGAAGAGGCTTGGAGAAGTAGTTTTCTGGTCATCCTCTAATCAAGGTTTGTCAAAAGCTTAAACACCTGAAGAATCTATTAAGGAAGCTAAATATAGAGGAATTTTCGGATATAAGAAAGAGAGTTAAAGCAAAAGAGATTGAGGTTCATGTTGTCCAACAACAGGCTCTTTCTGCTCCATCTGCTGATATCTTTGAAATCGAAAAGAGATTGGGGCAGGAGCTAAAGGTTCTAATGGATGCTAAGGAATATTTATTTAAGCAAAAGTCACAGGAAAACTGGCTCAAAACAGGAGACATGAATTCTTCATTTTTTCCATCGCTCTGTTAGATTGAAGCAGAAAAGAAGTACTATAAGGGTCTAAAAATGAGGTAGGGGAGCAAATTCAAGATGTTGAAGAGATGGCTCAAATTGTAGCTCGGTTTTACGAAAAATTACTGGGAGTGGTAGACTTTGAGGTAGAAGCTCAATCAGATGATTATTTTGATGCTTTGCTGAGAAGAATGAAGAGTAGAACGAAGGGCTATGTGCACCATTCACTGCTGAGCAGAATAAGGAAGTGATATTTACAATGGATGGAGACAAAATTCTAGGGCCTGATGGGTTTCTGCAGCATTCTTTCAATATGCTTGGCCACTTATAGGACCTGAGGTAACATCAAGCCTTCATTTTTGTTTTGTATATGATAGAGTTCCTAGGCCTGTAAATGCTACATCTCTTATCCCTAAAGTGCCCAATCCATATCAGATGAAATTTTTTAGGCCAATCTCTTGTTGCAACATTCTCAACAAATGCATATCTAAACTCATTGCTAACAGACTTACTGTACTCCTCCCTTTTCTGATTAGCATGAACCCAACATCCTTTGTTGAGGGTAGGCTAATTGGGGAAAATATTCTGCTAGCTGATGAGCTAGTTAGTAAGTACTCTCGCCAAAATGTCTCCCCTAGGTGCGCTTTAAAAATAGATTTGATGAAGTCATTTGAATCGGTTTATTGGAACTTTATTTTCCAAGTTCTAAAATGTATGAGGTTTCCAGAAAGATTTGTGAATTGGATCAAAATGTGTGTGGGAACCCATATGCTTAGTGTCTACTTCAATGGGGGGCTAGTTTGATATTTTCCAGCTAGGAAGGGGTTTCGACAAGGAGACCCCATATCCCCCTATCTTGTCACAACTGTAAGAAAGTGGGGCATTGGAAGTACAACTGTCCCAGGATAAGAGGGCAACAGAAGAAACAAGGTTCAGTTGTCGTGGCAGAAGTGGACAACAGTTCTGAAGACGATCTCGCATTGGCTGTAGATGAGAAGGCACATCGTGGTGATGTGTGGTTTTTAGATACTGCAGCCTCATACCGTATGTCTCCGACCAAGGATTGCTTCACAACCTACAAGCAGATAGATGGTGGTAACGTGGTCATGGCAAATGGAGCTGTCTGCAAGGTTGCTGGAATCAGTTCCATAAAGGCTCGGCACATAATGGTTCATTCTGTACCGTGAATGATGTCAGGCATGTTCCACGAATGACAAAGAACCTGATCAGCTTGAGTCTACTCGACAACAAGGGTTTCAGCTTCAAAGGAAAAGGTGGAGTTGTGTATGTCTGCAAAGGTTCAAGGAAGGTGCTGAAGGGCGTGAAGCGTGGGACCTTGTATGCATTAAAAGGGTATGTGTTGTCTGGTTCTGCTATAGCTGCATCGTCTCAGGTTCATCAGGAAGATATGACCACTCTCTGGCACATGAGACTGGGGCATATGAGTGAACGGAGGATGCAAGTTCTATCGAAGAGGGATCTTCTTTGCGGGCACAAGGTTCATAATTTGAAATTCTGCGAGCATTGTGTGTTTGGGAAGCTACATCGCAGCAAGTTTCCCATGAAGGGTATCCAGCGGATGAAGGGGATACTGGATTACCTCCACTCCGACTGTTGGGGTCCTTCACGAGTTGAATCCATTGGACACAGCAGGTATTTTCTGTCTATTATTGATGACTATTTGAGATTTACTTGGATTTTCATGATGAAGCAGAAAAGTGAGGCTTTCACGAAGTTCAAGCAGTGGAAGACATTGGTGGAGAATCAGACCGGGAAGAAGATCAAGAAGCTGCAAACGGACAATGGTCTGGAGTTTTGCAATTATGAGTTCAACGAATTCTTCAAGGATGAAGAGATTGTCCGTCACTGGACCATTAGAGATACACCTCAGCAGAATGGCGTTGCAGAAAGGATGACCCAGACATTGTTGGAGAGAGCATTGTGCATGCTCTCTAATGTTGGACTAGAGAGAAGATTCTGGGCAGAAGCAGTACACATGGCGTACTTCCTGATCAACCGTGGACCTCACACAGGTATCGAGTTTAAGACTCCTTATGAAGTGTGGTATGGTAAGCATGTTGATTACTCTTCAATGAAGGTTTTGGGTGTCTTGTTTATTATCATGTGGATGAGGGTAAAATGAACCCAAGGGCAAAAAAGGGTGTATTTGTGGGTTATGGAGATGGAGTTAAGGGATTTCGACTCTGGTCACCTTCTGAGCATCGAGTTATACTCAGTAGAAATGTGATATTTGATGATAAGTCTATGTTTAACCCCATGTTGAAGGTTATTGTTGTTGAAGGTAGCATGAATGTTGATAAACAGGTGGAGCTGCAAACTTTCAATGAGAGTGAGTTTGAGCACCAAGGTGGAGAAGATCAACATGAGGATGTTTCTGAATAGCCAGATACATTGTTGTCTAGTGCACGAGCTCAACGGTTTATGGCTTCCGGTAGACCGAAGAGAGCGACTGCAGGAGTACCTCCACAGAGGTATGGCTTCAAGGACATGGTGGCGTATTCATTTCAGGTTGCTAAAGAAGTGGATGCAGGTGAACCACAATCCTATAGAGAAGCCGTTTCGGATTGCGAAGCTGATTAGTGGCTTGCCTCAATGGGAGATGAGATGGAATCCCATGACAGGAATCAGACTTGGGAGCTAGTCAAACGACCACGGGGAAGGAAGATTTTTACAAACAAGTGGATCTACAAGAAGAAGGAAGGAACCAGTTCTGAAGAGGGCATTAAATTTAAAGCTCGAGTGGTTGCACGAGGCTTCTCGCAGAGGGAAGGAGTTGACTAGAATGAGATTTTCTCACAATTGGTCAAACATACTTCGATCAGGGTGCTACTAGAAATAGTGGCGCATTATGACTTGGAGCTCGAGTAGCTAGACATGAACACAGCTTTCCTACATGGAGAGTGGGAGGAAGAAATTTATATGACTCAGCCAGAAGGATTCCAGGTTCCAGGAAAGGAAGACTATGTTTGTAAGCTGAAGAAGTCCTTGTATGGACTTAAGCAATCTCCAAGGCAATGGTACAAGAGATTTGACAGTTACATGCTTAAGCTGGGCTACAGCATAAGTAAATATGATTATTGTGTGTATCACAGCAAGGCAGAGGATGGTTCGATGATATATCTAGTTTTGTATGTGGATGATATGCTCATAGCTACGAGGTCGAAGTTTGATATCCAGAAGTTAAATGGGCTTCTCATTGCTGAGTTTGAGATGAAGGATTTGGGAGCTGCTCAGAAGATCTTGGGTATGTATATTTACAGGGACAGGTCGAAGAAGAAGCTTTTCTTGTCACGGAAGAGCTACATCCAGAAGATACTGTCAAGGTTTGGCATGTCTTCAGCAAATCCCTTAAATACTCCTAGTACTTCAAATGTTCATCTATCCTCAGCTTATGCACCGCAGTCAGAGGCTGAGAAGGAGTACATGTCGAGAATCCCATATGCTGGTGCAGTAGGTAGCTTGATGTACGCTATGGTATGCACTAGACGTAATCGTGCACATGTTATTAGTGTTGTCAGCAGGTTCATGATACAACCTGGGAAGGAGCATTGGCAGGCTGTGAAGAGGATCTTCCGGTACCTTAATGGTACACCTTATGTGGGGATTAGATTTGGAAGTGATACAGAGTGCTTGGTGTCTGGGTATTCTGAATCGGACTATGCTGGAGATGTTGACACGAGGAGATCGATGACCGGTTATGTATTCACTCTTGGGAGTTCTGTAGTGAGCTGGAAGGCAATTTCGCAGTCGGCGGTGACATTGTCTACTACTGAGGCAGAGTATATGGCGTTGACAGAAGCTGCTAAGGAGGGAATATGGTTGAAGGGATTGGTTGGTGATCTGGGTTTACATCATGATCAGGCAGTGGTGTATTGTGACAGCTTGATTGCAATATGCTTGGCCAAGGATCAAGTCCACCATGAGAGGACT